AACTCGAGTTGCAACCAGAGTCACGGAACGGATTACGTTCGTAACTAGAGGTACCACTGTATCTATAAAACTGTATCAAGAATTCCCTTCTCCTATCCCAGTTATTCTTAGGCAATATAGCTCAGATCTGCTGTAGATATAGCTGAGATCAATTCCTCTGTATTATAAGAATATGGTCAAAGGTAGGGAATGTGTTGTGCTTCAGATCCAAAGTTAACAACATACTTTTGTCTTTGGATCTGGAGTGCAGTACATCCCAAGTTAAAGGGAAGTGTAAAAATGTAAAAATGTGCTTGAAGCGGGGAATAGGTAACTAAGGGAGATAGTTAGACTCTCCAATTTTTAGAAAATACAATAACATACTTTATTGCCTGGATTTTTAGAAAATATATTAACATGGAGATGGAAGTGGGGAATGTTCTGCTAGTTCCCTAGGAAGACTTTTTTGTTTGAATAGCTGTCACTCACAATCTGCTTTGGATTCTCTTTCTCAGAGCAAAATTATACATTCAGCTTTAGATCCAAGTCTGAAAACACACTGCTAAACAACTGTAAGGTGGCAAGGGAAGACCACAGTGTGTGACAAAAACACTGACCTCTTCCCATCCACTCCTTTCCCATTTTTAATTTTCTACTGTTTGTGTGATGGAATGAATTTTCAATTTTAGATTTTGGTCCTTAATTTTACATACAAGAACTTGTTTTTTTTAATCATTTATATCTGATTAAAAACTAATATATTTCAATATTCCATGCAGCTGTAAAACAATTTTGAGGAAAAAAAGTATGCTAACCTCCTATGGTTGAATAGATTTTGGATCAACATCACTGTTTGAATATAGACAACATGCCATACTCTCTTTAGTAAATTAGAGCCCAGCCTTCGCGCAGCAGAGTGAGCTCCTGCTTCCTCCCCCAGTTCCTGTCAACCCAACAGTTCAAAAACTTACGTGAGTAGATAAATGGGTACTCTCATTTATAGAACTCTCTTTAGTAAATTAGAGCCCAGCCTTCGCGCAGCAGAGTGAGCTCCTGCTTCCTCCCCCAGTTCCTGTCAACCCAACAGTTCAAAAACTTACGTGAGTAGATAAATGGGTACTCTCATTTATAGAACTTCTAAAGATTCAGAACAAAAATTAAGGTGATTTTTTTCATTCAAAACAGCTAATATATGCAAAATACCATTTAAAACAAGTAGTCACAAATATATCAATACAACAATAAAAAAACTACATACCACATCTGAACCTCTTATCTAAGTTTAGGAACAATGGAATTATTTAAAATTTGTAGAAAATAAATATTGAAATTATAATTTGTATCTCTAACTTTGTTTTTGTTTTTGTTTATCTGCACTCAGCCGTTACCGACTCTGCAGTGACTGCTTTTTGGATGAGTCCTTTTGCA